AAGCATTATGTAATCTCTCCTCCAGAAAGATGAACTTTCATATTTTTCTTCAGCTGGCTCAAAGAATTAGCCTGCAGAATTTCAGAGTGCAAATTGTTAAATGTCTCAGGCACATAATATTCGCGCGTATTCTTACCATATCGAGTACGAACAAAAGGGACTTTAAATGTTTCTTGAAAACGAAGGGAACGAGTAGGTACGTTTTTTCTCTTGAAATCATCAGACCAGAAGTAACGTTGGACAACAGTTCGAGTAAAAAGACTTCTGAGACATGGGAATTGCAGGAAATTAAACAGGTCACTGTCGTCAGGTATTTGCAAGCCGTAAGATACACTTTTCAAAATATTTTTTAAAATGCTATCTATTTTACCATGCCACTGGGTAGAACAGTTCCCAAACACTGTAATCCCATACCTTAACACGCTATATGCCAGTGTGTGGGCGATTATTTTACGTACAGAAAACGCCATAAGCGATTTGGTGTTATATAAAAGACAACTTACACTCCTTAGCTTTGCACAAAGTGACACGAATTGAGCATTCCAAGTTAGGCCGCAGTCAAATAACATTCCAAGGTACTTGACAGATTCAACATATTCCAATGAAACACACTTGCATGATACACATTTTGAGTGATGTAAAACAAAAGGGAAATCCAGACGCACGTATTTAAGGGGATTATGGAAACAGATAAGTTTAGTCTTATTTACGTTAACATCCATAAGGTTTCGCTGAAACCAGTCCATGACTGTAGTCGCAGCACACTGTAGTGAGCGGGCGGCATTTTCAAAATTAAGATGTCGAGTGACTATTACGGTATCATCCGCATATTGATAAAGCTTGGCTTCAGAGAGAGATGTTGAAATATCATTAACGAACAGATTAAATAGAAGTGGAGACAAAATTGAGCCCTGGGGTACCCCTGCTCTTAGCATTGTTCGCGGACTGCGGGACTCAGCTGCAATTACAAGCTGTGAGCGATTTAAAAGGTAATTGGACAGAAAAGAAAAAAACGGGCCACGAAAGCCGTAGCTATGCAGCTTTCTCAAGAGGACTGAATGGCTGACCGTATCAAACGCCTTCGATACGTCTAAAAAAAGGGCACAGCTTACAAGATTTCTTTCAAAACCGGAAAAGAGTAAATCAGAAAAGTCTTCCAGCAGAGGTTGAGTACCTTTTCCCCGAATAAAACCAAACTGACTAGGTGAGAGAACATTATGCACGTCTAGAAAGGATGACATAACTTGGAATACGTGTTTTTCTAGGATTTGAACAATAATTGGTAATATAGAAATTGGGCGGTAATTTTCAATCTTATTCGCTCCACCTCCTTTGTATAAGGGCCTTACAATAGCAGTTTTTAGTTCATCTGGAAGAACGCAACTCTCAATAAAGCCATTCAGCATATGAAGCAATACATGCTTGATAACCTCATAATTTCTGCGGAGATCGGAAACTCGGATGCCGTCAATGCCTGGAGATTTGGAAGACTTGAAGCTAAACAGTAACGAGTGCAGGTCGACATCATTGAGTGGTGGAAGAAAAGCAGAAGCTGCGACGACATTGTTGAAAGTGATGGAAGAATCTCTGCTTTTACCAGAAAAGGTCGCAAAAAAACTGTTGAAATCTCTTACAACAGTTGAAAGATTTGGACCGAAGTTTTTTTTCAAAACGTTATCAACAGAACTTGTAGAAGGGTTGCCACGAAACTCATTGACGAGAATCCAAGTCTGTGTCATGTTCGAGCGAGACTCTGAAAATTTTTTATGAAAATACTTTCGCTTTGCCGAGCGAATCATAGCATTTACCATGTTTCTGCAAATTTGATAGTTCGATTTAAGTACAGTATTACTAGGCGAACGCCTATATCGAGCCCACAAGTTATTCTTTTCCGCTATTGCCGCCAAAATGTCTGCATTCAACCAGTAGTGATTAGGCCGACGTCTTTTAACGCAGATTTCTTTTCTTGAGGAAACGTAAAACATATTAATGACATGAGCGAACTTTTGGTATATGTCAGTGGAACTAACTGATTGAAGAAACCCATTCCAGTCGAAAGAAGAAACAAGACGATCAAATTTAGCGGTGTCAATAACAGATGTTCTAGTGCCCAGTAAGCTATTTTGCGGGGAAGGGTTAACATTGGACCACCGACATGAAATAAAGTAATGATCTGCAAGCTTCTGTGTGATAATTGCTGACTGGACTCTTTGTGAACAAGTTCGGAGATTGATATGGTCTATACATGAGACGACCAACCGACCCGAGAGAATTTCTTCACGGGTCGGAGCATTTATCAAGCTGCTAATCCCGTTACCAGAGAGAGTGTTGAGGTAAGTGCATACTGAAGGCTTTGAGGGGGTCAAAATGTCGATGTTAAAATCGCCGAGGATGCATAATTGATCGTAAGTGGACAACTGCCGAAGAGCACCATCTAGTTCATCCAAAAAATCGCGTACGTGTTCTGATGGAGGCCTATATATTGCTAAAAAACATAGAGTTAAGTTCATTTGTGATATTGAGCGCAATACATTCGGCGTGATTGAACGTAACCGTTAGGTTATTGATGGACCAGTTGTCACGAACATAGACTGCAATCCCACCCCCTCTGCCACATGGTCGAGTGGTAAACGTACTGTTACAGTTTGGCATAGAAAACTGACTTGTCATTTCTGCTGCAATATTAATTTCGGAGAGAACAAAAACGTCAACTGAAGTGTTGATATCACTACATATTACTTTGAATTCATTCCAATGTTTTCGAAGGCTCCTGATATTAACATGAACTACTGTGCAGGATGAGTCTAGAGAATCTTCAAAAAAATTACGAAGTCTGTGAAAATCTGACACTCGAGCAAAATTCATTGGGGGCCTATACAATGCTGTCAATGTCCGTTATCTGGTTGACACGAATGAGGTCAGAACCCTCACTCTTCTTGGCAAATATTTTTCCCCTTTTCACCCATACGAATTTGTAGCCCTGAGCCTTGCCTTTCTGTCTTGCTAGCCAAAACAGCTCCTTGTTCGCTCGGGTCAGGTTATCATTGAAGTAAAGCCGTGGGATGCCCCCTGTTTGACTCAGCAAACGAAGGGCACCACGCTCAGCCATCCAGGCTTCCTTCAGACTGACTGAAGAGAATCGGATTAGGACTGGTGCAATCCCGTCCCGCCTGCCTGGCAAGCGATGTACTTCCTGAATATCAGAACACTGGAATGTCTTAGCAATAGACAGCTTACTCGCGAGCTCGGCTATAGACGCTACGAGATTTTCTCCCGGAGAGGTCGGCAGCCCGTGCAGTTCCATGTTAGCAAGACGCGAGTACTGTTCGCTGTCATTTTGCTCAGTACGAATTTTTAGGATCTCTGTTGCTTGGAACTGTACCTTGGCTTGGAGATCCGAGACCTCGGCCTGGAGGGCTTTCACCGTTTGATTATTTGATGTTGCTAGCGTTAAAAGAGAGTTATATTTTTCAGAGAAGTCAGCAATCGATGTTTGGCCGTCTTTCACTGTCGTCTGGAGGCACTCAACAATAGGCCCCAGGGCGAGGAGTTCGTCAAGCTTGGCGGGGAGCAATAATAATAATAATAATAATAATAATTTTATTGCAAATATGAAACATCAATACAAAAGAAAGCGAGTCTGTCAAAAGCCAATAGCGGCTTGTAGGACTAGACTCGGCATCGACGTAGAGAAAAAACAGTTATAAGTAAACATAGCATAAAACGAAACTAAACACAAGTTACAAGAATTGCAGGCAAACCTGCAAAAAAAAAAAAAAAAAACACGCCAAGGAAAAAAAATACTACCAAGCATAATGGTTCTGGAACCTTAAAGGGCAACTCCGCTCAATTCCGAAGATTTCCGGATAATGAGTGATTTCGATTTAAAAAGCCCTAGTAAAAGACACTACGTCTTTTGCTTCGCGAAAAATGGGATATATATTTTTAAATCTAATTTTAAACAGAAGCGGAAATCGAAACCGAAACTTCGGCTCCGTCCGGCAACATTGGCCTCGGGCCGCCAAGTACATGGCCATCACGTGGTACGAGAGGTCATGTGATCCTCGGCCCAACGACGGGCGGGATAGGGGCGGGCGGGCGTGCGGCAGGCGCGAGTGTCGTCTGCACCGCTCTCTTCGCCACGTTTTGGTGTCTACGGCATTCGACGACGTCTGCACAACTGCGGCAGAAGTCTGCGACTCTGCGCACGTGGTGTCCATAGTGTGGACGAAACTCCGAGAAGCAATAATCACAAACGGTAAGACGACGACGGTGGTTGTGACGCGGAAGACGGCGGTAACGGCGGGACCACGGCGGGCGGTTGGTCTGCTCCCATGAAGCGCGCTGCGCAGGCGCGTACGTCAATCACGTGGACACCGCTGAGCGCCGAGAGGAAACGTTGCTGACGTCACGCGCTACGCTCGATCGGAGAAGTAAAAACAAGCAAAACGGAGCCATGTAGATGGCGTTTAGCTCAATGTTGGCTCCGCCCATGCCGTAGCCCAGACTGCGCTGTTGGTTGCGCCTGAATTCGCCCGCTCGAGTCAGCCGATTTCGGCAACTTGGTGAGTTGCAAAGTTTGCCGGACCATTTAAGAAACATTTAGACAGAACTGCGTCGTAATATTTGACGTGTGGTCTTCCTATGCGATACTGAAAAGGACTGCATTGTTTTTTCAAAACCAAAAATGAAGCGGAGTTGCCCTTTAACAAACATAGGTAGAAAACATAATACAAAACATCGCGTTAAAAAAAAGAGTACTACTAACACGCCGAAAAAGAATAAAAAAACAAAAATATATTTTACACCTAATAATAATAATAATAATAATAATAATAATAATAATAATAATAATAACAATAATATTTAATGCAGGTGCTTCAAATACAACTTGTAGGGTCCGGTGCCACTGCTCGCCCGCAAGAAAGACACGCAAGCCAGGACATAGCAAAAACACACCTTTACTTTGTTCCGGTCCCTTCGAGTCTGTCCCGCGAGCCCCTCGTGAGCCACGCACAAGACGCTCGAGCTCGCGCCCCGTGCCCACGGTTTGTGTCGGCCACTGCCGCGCTACTGCACACTCCGCATGTCGCTTGCCACACACTTCCCCCCCCCGCAGCCCGCGGCGTTAGGAACTGTTCTCAGAGTTGCTCGTCGTCATCAATGTTTATCGCGATCTCCGCAGCATCTGGTGGTGACGGGTCAGCGTGGGATGGGGGGCGGAGGAGAGCAGGACGGAGCCTCCTGATAACGGTGATGGCGCGTGCTAGTTCGTCGTCCCTCATCCTTTCGAGGTGTAAGATGGCTGCCCTTGCGGCGGCTGCTGACTCCCGCGAGCGATGAAGTGCTCCAGCTCTGTGGGTACGGCGGTGGATTTCTGGCACCTCGCAGAGCGGGCACAGGAGTCGGCGCTCGTCTTCCGTGTAACTTTGTGGTGGGTTCGCCGGGCGGTGGGTGTTCAGCGTGAAGCCTCTGAAAGGTTCAGGCACTTGGGCGTCCATGTCAACCGTCAAAGGGCGCGGCTGGTCGTGCCAAGCGAGGCTGGACGACCAGGCCACTGGGTGTCCGTGATTGTCGAGGGTGCCCCAGGTGGCCGTAGACCGCTGGTGCGATCGTCTGGATCCCCGGCGGTGGTGGTTGTTCGGGTTGTCTCGTCCCCTGGGCTGGTAGTAGCGTCTGGGTCGCCAGTGTCGGGGTGGTGATGGGGACCGTCTGGCAGCCTGATTGACTCGCGGCATGCTTGGAAATCAGTAATAAAAGAAAACAGGTTGTCAGTAATGTCCATTACAAAAAAAGCAAACGTCTTCTACGTAAACGCAAGAACAGGTGAGCTAAGCTCGCGAGAACAGTCAAATGTATACCGCTCAAAGTCGCGCGCAATCAATCAAAATAGGCGGTAAAATGCTGGTTCTCGGCTAAACCCATTGTAATCTTCTTTCTATAATCTTCGTCTTCGTCACCGACGTTGAAGTCTTCGAGAGTGTAGGTGGTAAACTAAGTACCAGCCAGATCAGCAACACTTCCCACCTGCGAGAGAAGTTCATCAGCCGAATCATAATACTGCTTGAGGTCGGTGACATGAACAGGTCCCGTGAGTCGCCCAGACTCACAGTCGACGAGCGTGTACGTGAGGCGTGAAGCTTTCTTACGTACTCTATATGGACCGTCCCACCTATCAGCCAGGGATGCCGTGAAACCTCTGGCTGCATTACTAAGTGGGTGTGTCCGGCGCAGCACCAAGTCTCCAACGTGGAATTGCACGTCCCGGTGACCTCGGTTGTACTGCTCAGCCTGTTGCAGTCGGGCGACGTCCAAGCTCTCCCGGGCATCACGAACGATGTCCCTGAGTCTCAGTCGTAGATTGCCTGCAAACTGGCCATAGGAGCGAGAAGCACCCGGATCGTCGACAGAATAACTATTTTCGAGCGGGAAAGTCAGCTCTTTGCCAAAATTAAGGCGCGCGGGTGTGAAACCTGTAGATCGGTTAACCGTGGTTCGGGTCGCAAACGCAAGTTCTGGAAGCTTCGCATCCCAATCCCGGTGGCGCTCGGTGTGAGCGATCAACATCGACTTCAAATTTCGGTTTACCCGTTCGGTAATATTTGCCTGCGGGTGATAGGGAGACGTCCGCTTGTGTTGTATGCCCAATGCGGCACATGAGTCTCGGAACACTTTGCTGGCAAAGTAAGTAGCGTTGTCGCTAATCAATTTTTCCGGAAATCCGAAGCGTGTGAACGTCTCCATCAGACACGACCAGATTTTCTTGGACGTCAGCGATCGCAATGCAAATAGCTCCACCCACTTGCTAAAATGATCCGTGACAACCAACAGGTACTGGTTGCCACGCGGACTGCGTGGGAAAGGGCCCATGACGTCGACAGCGACGCATTCCCATGGGGATCGACTTACGACTGGCTGCATTAGACCAGGGGGCTTACCACCGCGCGGTTTGGCTTTCTGACAAACCGGGCATGAACGAGCGTACCTCAGCACGTCCTGACGAATTCCTGGCCAAGTTGCAGTACGGCTTAACTTTTCAAAAGTCTTGCAGCCACTACTGTGACCAGCCAAAGCGGAGTCATGGTAGTATCTAATGAATGACGTGCGAAGTCGGCGAGGTATCACGGCTCGAAATGGAGTATCTGTAAAGCCACCCTCCTCGTCGTCGATCTGAGGTATGTACCGGAGCAGCAGACCGTCTTCGGCCAGTAAGTACGAGTCGAAACCCATGTCAGCGTCTCTGTTGCCACGTCGGTCACGTGAAGACAACCACTCAGAGACCCTGTGACAAAGTCCATCGTTCTGCTGTGCAGCCCGAAGCTCATCTCTGCTAATCAAAGTACCCCAGCGCGAGCCAGCATCTATCGCAGCCACGACATTGGCATCCTCGGGCACGTGCTCTTCACCGAGCGGAGCGCGCGACAAAGCGTCTGCAACTTTGTTTTGTGAGCCTGGCTTGTGCACAATGGTGTAGTCATATTTTTGAAGCGTCAGTGCCCAGCGTGCTAATCGACCTGCCGGATTTTCCAAACGCTGAAGCCAGGACAAGGCTGCATTATCCGACTGGATGACAAAGCGCGCGCCATCAAGATACATATTGAATTTCTGCAGGGCGAATATGATGGCTAGGCACTCAAGCTCGCAAACGTTGTAATTCCGCTGAGCTGGTGTCAACGTATGGCTCGCAAACGCTACGGGTCGTAAGACACCATCAATGTCTTGAAGCAGCACAGCACCTAAACCGTAGCCGCTCGCGTCGGTTTGCAGCACAAACGGGCGGTTGAGGTCTGGGAGCTTCAAAGATGCTGTCTCAGCAATAGCTCTGGACAGTTGAAGGAAGGCATTTTGCTGTGCCTCCGCCCAATGCCACTTGACGCCTTTGCGCAGCAGTTCGTTCAGAGGCCGCGTTATCTCTGCACAGTGGGGGATAAACTGGCGATAAAATCCAACCATTCCCAGAAATCGCTGCAAACTCTTTGCATCATGCGGGGGAGGAAACTCAGTTATGGCCCTCAGCTTATCCTCGTTAGGGCGAAGCGATCCATCGTCGATTACAAAACCGAGCAGGTTAATCTTGGATGTTGCCAGTTGCATTTTTCCCGGGTGAACTGTCAAACCAGCATTCTGCATGCGTTCGAGTATAGTCCGAAGGTGCACAAGATGTTCTTCGAACGAGCGTGAGAAGACTACTACGTCATCCATATACGCCATGGCGTAGTTGTGTCGTGCGTCTCCAAGCACAATGTCCATAAGACGCTGGAATGTGGCAGGAGAGTTGCTCAAGCCGAAAGGCATGCGCACAAACTCGTACAATCCTCTGTAGCACGTGAATGCTGTTTTCTCAATGTCAGCGGGCTCGACCTCTATCTGGAGGAAACCGCGACTGCAGTCAAGAGTCGTGAAAAAACTCGCGTTTCCCAAGTTGTACATGATCGACTCAATCGACGGGTACGGGTACGCGTCACGAACGGTTACGGCATTCAGGCGTCGATAGTCGACGCAAAGCCGAGCCGTTCCATCCTTCTTGGGGGCAAGGACGATCGGGAAGGCCCAAGGGCTCTGCGACTCACGTACGGCACCCGTGTCGATCATCTCTTGGAGCGCCTTGTCTAGCAGGTCTCGCTTGTGTACGCTGATTGGTCGAGGGTTGCAGCGTAGGGGCCGTGTATTCCCGGTGTCAATTGAATGCTTCAGGACACCGGTTCTGCCGGGGTTCTCCGTGAACATCGGCGAAAACTCCTCCAGGAGTCTTTGGAGACGCCGCTTTTGCTGGTCCGTAGCAGGACACTTCTGCAAAGAATCGCTTACCGCACATGGGAGTCGCAAAGCAGGCGTTCTAACGCCAACGTTATCGACACTGACGATACAATCCTCTCGTCTGGTAAATGGGATCAGTTTCGAGTCACTACCTAACCGGTAGCCTTTGTTCGGAAAGTCCAGAACCAGGTTCTCCCCGAAAATGAAATCTCGTCCCAAAATAATCGGTACCGTGAGACCAGGTAAGCAAACGAAACGCTGACGGCGTTTTTTCTTGTTGAACTCGATCTGTAACCTCACGGCTTGACTCGCGAGCATTTCTGGTCCTGACGCTAGCTGTAAGCGCACGTTAGTCTCACGCAGGTTAGCTTTCTGCTCATTGCAGCGTTCAATCAGGTAGTCCCCAATAAGTGACAGACTCGCACCGGTATCAATCAGCGCTGCCACAGCTATTCCGAGCACTGTAACTGTCATACGAGGCTCAATTAGCTCAGGGTCAGGCTGGATTCGACATACCGATGGTAGTGCTGCCGGGTTGTCCATGGTCACCGCGGCCGGCGGGCGCTCAGGGGTCAACGCCGTCGGCCGTGCTGGTTTTCCGAGACCGCAGGGCGGTTGCCCACCAAATCCGGGCAGTCTCGGCGGAAGTGACCTTGTCGGCCGCAGCCAAAGCAGCGCACCGAAATGCGGCGGTCAGTGTCGCGTGTCTGGCTGCTTGGAGCCTGTCGTTGTGTCCTGTTGCTTCCCTCGTTGGGCCAGCGATCCGCGCCCCGGAGCGAATCACGGGGGAAGGACCTTAAACGGCTTTCACCCTGCCGTAGTCTCGATCCAGCCGGCCAGGCACTAGGCCGGGGGTCCAAGCCACCGGGTGGTGCTCTCCCGCGCTCCCGCTGTCCAAAGGCGTAGGGGTCCAGCGCGCGGGGGGGAAGGACCGCGCCATACTCCTGGGGTTGGCGCTGAGTCGGACCTCCTCTGGGCCCGGGAGCTGACCAGGCACAGGACGGTTCGAGAGCTTCCTCGGGCGGCGGTGGCGGCCGGTACTGGAGCTCTGCCAGAAGCGTCTCTTGGATGCCGCGAGCGTCCCGGGCCAGGTGCTCAAGGGTCTCGTAGGTGCGGCCATGTAGGTAGGGTCGGAATCTGGGATGGCTCTGCTGTACGACCCGAGCAACCCTGTCCGACTCTGGTGTCGTTGGGCAGGCCCTATCGAAGAGCTCCTGCATCACCCGGACGTATTCGACCAGGGTCTCGTCCGGGTGCTGGGTTCGGCGCTCCAGTTCTCGCTGTACTCGAGACTGGTACCCAGGCGGAAGAAATTCGTCCTGGAACCTCCGCCGAAAGTCTTCCCAGGACAGGAACGGGGCCACGATGCGCCACCAGCGGGCTGCACTCGCCTGCAACGCAACGGGCAAAACGCGCGCGAGGACGTATTCGTCCGAGGCGCCCGCAGCAAGCTTGTAGGCCGCCAGCTCTGCGAGGAAGTCGGCCACGGACTTCCGGTCGTCGTAGCCGGTGTAGGTTGGGACCGGCACCTGGGGACGCGGGCCACGACCTTGAAGTCCCGGGTCAGTCAGCAGCAGACGTTGTGTGACCGTGTCACATAGGTTGGCCACCCGAGCCATAAGGCCTTCCGCGTCCGGCTCGCCTCCGCTCTCGGCTTGGTCAGCGGCGGCTCTGCGGCGGCTCATCGCGAAAGTGGCCGCGAAAAGGAAAAACACAAAAACCGAACAAGAAAGAACACAAAGGAACAGAAAAAGAACACCTAATATACACTATGCACAGTAGAGACGAGGGCCAAGCCGCGATGGCAAAGGTGGCGTCCGGTGGCCGAAGCCTAGTCGAACGGCCACGTAGGCCTAACGGGCAGGGCAAAGTCAAAACGAGAAAAACCCGGCTAAAAACGCCTAAAACGGGCTAAAAGGCCTGCGGTCCATCCCACGGGAGAGCAGTAGGCCCCGCGTCAAGCGCCAAATGATGTAGGGTCCGGTGCCACTGCTCGCCCGCAAGAAAGACACGCAAGCCAGGACATAGCAAAAACACACCTTTACTTTGTTCCGGTCCCTTCGAGTCTGTCCCGCGAGCCCCTCGTGAGCCACGCACAAGACGCTCGAGCTCGCGCCCCGTGCCCACGGTTTGTGTCGGCCACTGCCGCGCTACTGCACACTCCGCATGTCGCTTGCCACAAACTATATACACATAACGGAACCGTCAAAGCCCTAAAGGCTTGTAGGACTAGTTCCTTACAAATTACTTAAGGCACACTCAAAGCAAGTTAGTATAAACCTTTCAGAGATCTAGAACGCGTGACAGAGAGAAATATATACAAACAGGAGAGTAGTGCACAGCGCACAGAAATCACATCAAGTAGAAAACAAAATGAAAACAAAAAAATTAATCGGCACTTTAAAAAAAGGCAAAGAGTCTTCAATCTACGTTTCAAAGCTCCTCGAGAACTTACGTCGAGTAGCAATATGGGATACATAATAGAGGCGAACGCATTTTCAAAAATGTGTTTTGATGCGCGGCGTTTGATATGGTCTCACGTCTCGAAGGGCACGACAGACAGTGTTGGGGTTCTTAAAGGTGTTATCCCAGTAGTGCTTCAGCACTACTGTTTCCAGAAACAGTGATTTAAAAGTCGTTAGCAAGAGGTCATTAAAGAGGTTATCAGATCTTTGGAGACTAGAACCGTAAGCTACACTACGCAGGATGCCATTTAGTAAGGAGTTCACTTTAGACTCTAATAGAGCTGTACACTGTCCGAATAAAGTTATTCCGTAACGGAGAATACTATAAACAAGGGCGTGCGTCAGAAGTCTTTTTGTTGTGATGGGAAGAAGTATGCGAAGATTATATAAGGTGCACGAAGCGGCTCGTATTTTTTTGAAAATATAGAAGAAGTGAGAGTTCCATGACAGGTCGCAATCAAAATAAAGTCCCAGATATTTCGTACAGTTCACATAAACAATTGGCGCACATTCGCAAGAAACACAGTCTGACGTGTGAAGAAAAATTGGTTTGTCTAAAAGAACCTGTTTTAGTGGACGACGAAAGCACACCAGTTGTGTTTTCTTCGCGTTTACTCTAATGGCATTTGCTGAAAACCAGTTCATGAGCCGTAATACATCTGATTGGAGTAGCTCAAAAGCCTCATGGTATCGTACATGACTCGACAACAGGACAGCATCGTCTGCGTATTGGAATACTTTGCAGAAGTTGACCGCTTTCGGAAGATCATTGACATAGATGTTAAAAAGGAGAGGCGATAGTATCGAGCCCTGCGGAACACCAGCCTTTAGGGACATTTTCAAACTCCGAGCTCCGCATATTGAAACGAGTTGTGTACGACTTGACAGAAAGTTTTCTAGCAGTCTGTAAAAAGGCCCTCTGAAGCCGAGGCTGAACAGCTTATTTAAAAGTACCTTATGTGAGACTGAGTCAAAAGCTTTGGAAATATCTAGAAAGAGTGCACACGTGAAAAGATTACGTTCAAATGCATTATGAAGAACATCGGAAAAGTCTTCAAGTAAGGGTTGGGTGCCTTTACCGTTAACGAAACCGTACTGTTGGGGTGACATAAGGTTAAATTCTTCTAAGAACGCTGACATTGTCTGGAAAATGTGTTTTTCTAAAAGTTTCGCCAGTGAAGGCAAGATAGATATAGGACGGTAGCTTTCGATGCTACTATGATCCCCATTTTTGTATAAAGGCCTGACAATGGTTGTTTTGAGATCTTCTGGAATATTACCTGACGTTATGAGGTCGTTTAACATATTTAGTATCACATGCCTCAATGGTGCATACTTTCTCCGCAAATCAGCCATCCGGACGTTATCAATTCCAGGAGACAAACCCGGTTTGAAACTAAGTAACATACTATGTAGACCTTGCTCTGTAATTTCAGGAAGGAGGGCAGACGCTACATTCACCGGAGCTGCTTTTGAGAGACAAACTTCACTATCGCGTGAAACATTTGAAGTTTTCCCGAAATGTACATTAAACGCATTTGCCGTGGACTGTTTGTTACAAGGGAAATATCTGGTGATCGTCTCGTCGACAGAATGTTTCGCGCTGTGGCCTCCTCGTAAATCGTTTACAACAGACCAAGTTACACGGGAATCATAACGGGAATCTATTAACTTCTGTTTAATATAGTTACGTTTAGCGGAGCGAATTAATGCAGTGACTTTGTTGCGCTCACTTCGGAATTCATTCCGCAGGTCTATGTTATCGGGAGAGCGACGACAACGCGTCCACAATATCTCTTTATACTTAATCGCGGCAATAATGTCATTATTCAACCATATATGTTCCGCTCGCCTCTTTCTGATAGTAATTATTTTTTTACTGCATCTAGTAAAAGTCTGCCAAAGATTAATAAACTTCGTGTAGAGTTCTTGATTTGAATATGTTAGCAAACGTCCCCAATCATAAGAAGAGATTAATTTGTCGAATAATTTCCGATCGACAACCTCTATAAGTCTTGTTTCCGGACAGGCGTGTCTTAGAGGCGTATCGGAAACCAGTTGAACTGCGGTAAAGTAGTGATCTGCGAGTTTCTGCGAAATGACAGCAGACTTAACTGAAAGGCCGTGAGTGCGTATATTCATGTGGTCTAGACAAGCAGAAACAAGGTGTTCATTCAAAGTTTCCTCTCTGGTAGGTGCTTGAATTGTACAGTTGAGACCAAATTCTGAGAGAAGATTCAAGTAGTCACATACGGTTGACTTTGTGGGTTTCAAAGTGTCAAGGTTCATGTCGCCGACTACGCAAAGTTGTTCCTCGGCCTGAAGGTCAGTCAAGCAAGCTCTCAATTCAACTAAAAAAGACGAAGCGCTTTCTGATGGAGGGCGATAGCAGGCGACTAATGCGATAGAGTATACTGAGTTGAAAATTTTGAAAGTGACAGACTCTGCATGAACGAAAGTATTTTTTAACTGTTCTGTACCCCATGAATCTTTGACAAAAATACCAATGCCTCCACTTGTCCTGTCAGAGCGAGTATGGAAGAATTGCTGATAACCAGGTATTGAGAATTGATCAACAGAAGCAGCTGGTACATTTATCTCCGTTAAGACCCACACGTCGACAAGATCGTACAGGGAACTGGCTATAAGACCAAATTGCTCCCAATACTTCCTAGCACTACGAATATTAGTGTGAAAAATGGTGAACCCGCTAGTTGAGGAGTCAAAATTGCACAAGATTGAATCGAAATCATCGCAGTCAAAAAATGTGAAGGTCATGGTTGCTAGGCAATGAGTTCTAAGTCATTGACACAAGTAATGTGAATGAGTGGGGCTCCCTCTGCTTTTTTTTGCGTAGATCTTTGCGTTTTTAACCCTGACATATCGATATTGTTTTACTTTGCCTTTCGCCCGGGCTTTCCAAAAGAGCTCCTTGTTCGTGTGTGTCAAGTTCTCGTTAAAAAAGAGTTTCGGGAGTTTTCGTTCGCGGGCGAGAGAACCCAGTGAGCTACGCAACCTCAACCAGCGGTCCCTAGCACGCGCAGAGCGAAACCTGACCAACGTAATGGGAATGGTATCACGCGAAGAGGGCAGGCGATGAACGGCCTCAACCTCTGAAGGATGGAAGTCGGAAATGCCGAGTTTTTGTGCTATATCATCAAGCTCAACCGAAAGATCTTCATTGGGTCTGCAGGGAAGGCCATGGATCTCAAGGTTAGATCGACGACTAAATTGCTCGGAGTTGTTGAGCTCAGACCTGAGTCGTTGGATCTCCTCTGATTGGATTAACATGGAGGACTTTAAAGAATTCACCTCGGTCTGTAACTCTGAAACAGTAGTATCCTGCTCAGCCACTTGCTTGAGCAGAGTGTCATACTGAGCTGAACAGAAGGCTACTGACTTAAGCACCTCATTGACAGATTGTTCCATGGCATCAACCGCAGATTTAACGGTGAGCAGCTCATCGACTTTTGCCGGAAGCTGGGCGAGAGAATCCACGCTACTCTTGAGAGAGAGAAGCAAGTCGATTTTCTTGTTTACTTCGGCTAACTGGGCTGCAAATGACGCGGACTCTATATGCGAATCCGCTTCCAAGCTTCCTCCTGTCGACTTAGTCACAGAGGTGCGGCACAGATGGCAGAGTCACTGTTCTCGTTTCGCTGAACTAATGGAGTTAAATGTGTTCGCAGCAACACCGACACATGACTTTCCGAGGTGGTAGCTGTTTTCACAACTCGCGCAAATCAGGTATCTCCCATCAACAGGTAAAGGCCCGTGGCACTTGGAACAGTTAGTGGAGGCCATGGTAAAACGGAAGAGGTGAAAGAAGCTATAAATATAGGAAAATGCAGATTGACGTTTGCGAGTCATACACTAAAAGATTGAACAGTATGCTCACTTGCTAAGCGCGAAACAAATCTGATGTGCGCGTGCATCATGGAACGCAAGTCGGGCTGTCAAACATCTGCTGGTTAGGTCGGTGTTTAAAGCGTTCAAGCGTAATCACTGGTAAAAACCTGGCAGAGGCATACACTTTACCGGTGCTCGAGCGGTGGTAGATGGGGACAATTTAGCAGAGCAAGAGCAGCTACCACATAGCACACACCAAGGATGGTGCTGATGGTGGCGATTCCGCTGAACAAGGCCAGAAGACCTTACAGCGGCCAGGGGTATGCCCGCCGCCAGCTGAAGAGACAGGCTACACCGGCAAAACAGTGATTCGACGACAGCCTTGTACGGTCACCGGGAAAGGCAGGTCTCACAGTGCGTTGATAGTCGGTTTCCGCAAAGGACTGGATGGTCGCTGAATCGCCATCAAGTCTCAGACGGTCGCTGGACGTCGATGGTAAAATGAGACGACGACCGCTGGCTGCATGATTGATGGACACCGATGAAGGTGGATGGGGCCGCAGTCGCGATCTTCGAGGCGGCGAACTCGCAGTCAAGACGGCAAATAGACGCCGCCTTAAGCCCGTGGCGACTCCAGGGCCCGACTTGGGCCACGAAGAGTCCGCCGGTAGCACATCAGGTTGAAATAATATGAATATTACTGGAAATATGAAGAACGATAGAAGAACGATAGAAAGCACGTATAGAAACGGGTCCGTCAGAAGCCAATATAGGTTTGTGGGAGAGTACCTAGTGAGTCAAGACGAGACATTCATAAAAAGCAAGAAAAGTAACGTAAAAGCTTTGTTCAACAATGCTAATTAAACTTCACGTTGGTTAACATTTTTTTTCAATTGTCCCTTTGTATTAGCCTTGAAAATTCTATCTGGAAGTTTGTTAAAGATAGATGGCAAGTAGTAGGGGCGAACTCTCAATCCGTAACGGGTCAAACATCGGGGAGTTGAAAAACGAGGGGACAGACGAAATATTCCTGGAGCAAGCATAGGGGCGCTTGAAGTCAGGACACCAATAATGGCGGAGCACCACACTCTGCACAAAAAGCGAGGTAAAGGTTTGCGATACTAGTGGGTCGGATACATCTGCTTCAGGGGAAAAATTAAAATTGTACGCCACACTTTTCAATATTCCCCTCAAAACAGGTCAATCTTAGTTTCCCATACCTCAGAACAGTCCGAAATCAAAGGAATTTCATATCTAAGTACACTACATCCAAGAGTATGCCCTATCAATTTTCTGATATATAACGGCATAAATACTTTGAAGTTAAAAAGCTAACAGCTAACACTTCGGAATTTTCGAGAAACGTCCAACATATGTGTATTCCATGGCATGTCTGAATAAACAGATACACCTAGATAGTGGACATTATCAGGAAATTGCAGCTGGCGACCATTAGAACGAAGACAGTCTGATTTATGTAACACAACTGACGACACCGTTGAAACGTCCACACGCTTAAGAAAATCCGTTGAAACGTCTAACATTTAAAAAAATGTTTGAAGCACACAAATTTTGTTTTGGACTCTTTAATTTTAATCAAATTAGCGTCAGCCCAGTCCATAACCCTTGTGGAGTCATCACTAAATAATTGTAAGGCATGATCAAAATTGAGACGACTAGAGACAGGCAGAATGTCATCCGCATATTGGAAAATTGCACAAATGGAGACATATACCACGATATCTTTAACATACTAATTGAAAGGCAGAGGCCACAGTACTGACGCCTGAGATACACCAGCTTTTATATCGACGCGGACAGTTCTAAAATGTCCTACCGACGCAATCTGAGAACGAGCAAGAAAACAGTTTTCCAGTATTGCAAACAAAGGACCCCGAAATCCATAAAGTAGAGATTTTTAAACAACAGCTTATGGCTAACAGCATCAAATGCTCTTGCTACATCCAAGAAAAGGGCACACGCATAGAAATTATTTTCAAATGACGCGCGATGATGAGGCCAGCAAACATTTCGAGCAAAGGCTGGGTGCCTCTGCCTCCTATAAAGTCGTCTTGACAAGGTGACCACAACTGGAACCTGTCCACAAACCTTGTCATCACTATAAAAATATGTCTTTCCGATAATTCTTCTGTGCATGGCAAAAATTTTGATTGGGCGGTAACATTCCACCTTGGTATGTGCACCGCCCTTGAACAGTGGTTTTACTATTGCTGTCTTCAGGCCACTGGGGATCAAACCGCAAGTCAAGAAACAATTCAATAGTGCAAGTAGGACAATCTTGATAGTATCGAAATTTTAGGCCTTCTATGCGAATACCGTCAAATCTAGGCGGTTTGCTTCGTTTTATGCTGAACAATAATGAGCGTAGCGTAGACTCATCGAGATGAGGTAGAAAAGCAGAAGCAGACGCAGCATATTGCTCTCTAACACCGACCGATGCCCCCCAACACAGAGTGTCTCTCCACCCCAGATGATGCCGCAAAGAACTGATTGAAATCATCAACAGCGGACTGCAGTTTGGGGCAGAAATGTTTAATCAGACTCAATAGAAGGTTCCTTTTCGATGCATTTCTCCAAAAAGAATCAATTAATTGCCAAGATTGTTTTGGGTTCGACCTGGCCTCGGAAAACCCTCCAGGGAAATAGCAGCGTTTAGAAGCCCTTATAAGCGCGTTTGCCCCGTTTCTTGCACACCGAAATTCAGCTTTCAAATGAGCATTATTCGAGGCACGACGACACCGAGCCCGCAATGCTTCCTTAACCTCAATTGCAGAAATTATTTGAGAGTTATGCCATGACATATTTGATCTTTGCTTGAAACGCACGAGTCTTCTTGAAGCAATCTAAAAGGACTCCAGAATTTGAAAAACAACAACAACAACAACAACAACAACAACAACAACAAGTGTACATGCAAGTGGGATCTGTAGACAGGAGAAAATCATCCCAGTCGTGTGCAGCGGTAAGAGAATATAATTTGCTTGTATCTATAACACTAACAGACGTGCGACTCCCCTCATTGCTTTTCCCACCACCAGCAAAACTCTCTAAACGACAACCTACAAAATAGTGATCTGACAGCTTCTGGGTAATAACAAAGTATTTAATAACGACGTCCAGAGCCCTAAGGTTAGCACGGTTCACGCAGGAGACCACTAGTCGGCCATTTGAAGGCTCCTCCCGAGAAGGCAAGCTGATAGTGCTCTCAACCCCATACTCCGACAAAAGAGTTAATATTTGCATTTTTTAGTGTGTCAGAAACTTTGTACATTCTATGCTGCGTTGTGGCGCCGTTGAGGCCAATCCTGGCCCCATGAGCGAGGTTCAGGCTAAGCAGTTCAGCGAAATGTATGATCTTTTACAGAGCTTGAATGATCGTTCACTGGAGTTTAAACAGGGACAGTAAAGGCCGCTTACCAGTGTAAAGGAGATAAAGAAAAACCAGAAAGTTATGCAAGTACAGGTGACTGATATTAACAAAAGGTTGCCATGTCGTTCAAACTAAAACAACCCTTCTTAAAACAAAATAGCAAGAACACGGTATCGCCGGTCAAGCAGCTGATAGCATTACGGAATGAAAACATCGCTCTGCAGGAGCGGCTTGATGATATGGAGGACCGGTCTCGTCGTAACAACGTTATCTTTTACGTAATTGCTGATCTTGCTTCAGAAACGTGGGGTGACGCTGAGCGAAAGATAAATAGCCCGCTCTCTTAATGCTCTTTACTTTACATAAACGGAACACTTGGTGTAGAGCGCTCAAATAGGCAATGTGTTTTTGATGCATGAAATGTCGCCCCATCATCGTACAGTTTTCTTCTTTTAAAAGGAGCGGTTTTACCTTACCTTGCAAAGTGCAACTAAAAAAGGTAGGCGTGACTATCAGTGAGTTTTTTTTTTGCTACTCGCCTGGCTAGCACAAAATTAATAGAATTGGGCAAGTTCTAAGGAAGTACTTTTAAACTGAGGTTTCAACGAGAATTATCAAATTAATAACTGCTAAACGCACAACCCCCAAGACGAATGAATATGTGTGTGAACCTCATTCCCTCAAACCGAAAGAAATGTTAGCGTGCTTCCACGGAATTCATTTCCTCTTTCTCAGCCCTCTTGCCCCGCCTAGTTGTCCGAGAGGGGCGGGGCACCAGTGAATGTGGCAGTTGTTTTACTAACATCGAAGTCTGATTAAAAAACGCGGTGACTCGTGCTTCGAGACTGACTTATGTGATGCTGGTTTAGTTGTGCTAACTGAAACGTTATTTTCCTCTGAAGTTAATGTTTGCAATGATTTAATTCTAGTAAAAGTTTTAATATTTACGCAATTACCACGAGGAACGTTCTGGTGAGGCAGTTTTGATAGCCACTGTGCTTGAACGTAATTTTTTTATCAATATAAAATCTGATCTTGAATTATTATGGGTACGTCTTTCCATTGGACAGAAAAAGCTAGTATTAGGTTGTTGCTATCGTCCTCCAGCACAATCAAATACTTCTGTTGAGCAACTTTATGATGCAATTAACCTTGTTCGTGTTGGCTTTCCAAACTTACCCCTTTTCTATTATGGGTGACTTTAATTATCCCAGCACCATCTGGTCTGATTTAAGCTCGTCATAGAAACACCCCTTAACTGAATGTAACCAGTTTTTAGATCTATTCATAATGGAACAGCGCGAATTATTGCAAGGACAGGAGAAGGAACTGGACAGGACGAGCGCTGACTAACAACTGAAAGGTTTATTCTCAGGAAACCACGAAGAAAAACACATAACACGACTCTCTAATCACGATGGAAGTGCACATGCGCCTCACAAAATTGGGTGCTATCAGTTACACAATGTTACATGCGTCATCCCCGATCTAAAAATTCGACCTCATTGTCCAGCAAAATCAAGGAAGCCTGACTCACGCAGGCTGACCCCTCCTTCTTTATTCTATGAGCTTCAACAATCTCTCGAGCTTTTTGGTCTCGGTGTTTATACAAAACAACGGCTTTTTCCAGTAACGGGGTGCAGGCGCAGTCCCTGCAGTGTAACGCCAAGTGGGAGCTTGCCGTACCTGTTAAAGAACTACGGTGTTCCCGCAGGCGAATGTTGAGGCACCGCCCCGTTTGTCCGATGTATACCTTCCCGCAGGTGAAGGGTATCTTGTATACTACACCCAAGGTGCATGGCACGAACTCAATGCGGTGTTTTATGCCGCACGGGCTCTCCCCCTGTTTCTCTACCTTGTTAACCCGCTTTTCCACTGCAGAGCAAATACTGCTTAGCTTGTTACGTGCCGAGAACACAACATCTACCCCGAACTTCGAGGCTGCTCTCTTAAAGCCGTGTGACATGTGGTGCACATACGGGATGACTGTGACCTGCTTTTTTACTTTTGTGGCTACTTTTCCCCGCGCCTCACCCTTAATGTTTTTCACTGTTGCTTCCGCCGCCGAGGCGATAACCGATTCCGGGAAACCGGCGTCTTCTAGTCTACCTACCTGGGCGGCAAGGCTTTGTCCCACTCTGTGGTAGCAAGACTTTGTTACTGCGGACAGGATACATGATTTTGCAATGCCCCTTTTGACGAGCTTGGAATGCCCCGATCTAAAATCAAGGAGATTCTTGGTGGTCCTGGGATGATGCCACCAACAAACGTGGCTCTGGCTCACATCTACGCTCAGATCCAAAAACTGGATTGTCTGGTCTTTTGGGGTCTCAAAAGTGAACCTCAGGCCCAAACCCTGCTCCTTGAACGTTTTTAGCGCGAAATCAAGGGTCCGACTAAAGTTACCTTTGTCGACGAAAACTAAATAATCGTCGACATACCTAAAAATCTTTTTAGCGGGGGCCTTCAACAGACCGTCAAGTGCCCTGTCAACCTTTGCAAGGAAGATGTTACTCAGCACGGGTGCTACCCTGGACCCTATGCACACCCCAGACTTTTGCACATACACCTTGTCATGCCACCCGATAAAGGTAGCCCTCAAACAAAATGACAACACTTCTAGAAACCCTTCGACCGGAATCCCGCATTGGGACCTAAACGCAACTTCATCGTTGAGGTCAGTAATGCATTCTTTTACGCAACGCATGAGGTCATCGTGGGGCATAGAGTAATACAGATCTTCAACGTCTATGCTGAACGCTGTACAACCCACAGGGTTACTATCCGAGAGATAGGAAACAACGGCATTTGAGCTAGGTATCACGAAAGGGTCCTCGGCATTTAACGTGTCCAAGTGCTTTTTGAGGTACCCAGACACAACACGCAACCAGGTGCCACGCTCAGACACAATGGTGCGAAACGGAATTTCCGCCTTATGCGTCTTGGCCGCGAAGAAAACTTCCAAAGTGAGGTTCTTTTCCCTTTTTACCCCTGCACACACCTGCTTAAGGCTCAATCTTTCCAAAAGCTCCACGGCTCTTTCCTTAACCTTCGCTGGTCTTTCTAGGACCGCCTTGAAGTTCTTCTGCACAGCACAGGTCGCCTTCTCAGCGAACATGTCCTCCGGCATGATGACGAAGAAGCCTTCCTTATCGGACACAAGTGCGCGTAGCCCACTAGTAGCGAGAAAGTCAATAACAGGTTCTAAACTCCTACTCCTCGTAGGGAGCCCCTCTGACCTCAACAGCACATCAACGCATCCTGCGACACACCTTGGTTTGTCCTCTTCCGGAACCTGGCGAGACACCAACCTTGACAGGGCCAGCTTGTCCACTCGTTTCAGCGCCGGCTCAAAACAGAACTTCGGGCCCAACTTGAGGATCTGCCTGTGTTGCTCCGCGACTGGTCGGTCGCCGAGGACGAGTACTGTGCCTTCCTTGACGCGCTGCTTTTTCTTCGAAGGTAGATTGGGGCGTACCTGGTTCCATAGAAACTCGGTGAGCTGGATGGATGTCCTTGACCAGTCTTGGAACCGGTGGTTAGTTCCAGGCTGTTGAGGCTGGCGACTGCAAGCTATCCGTAGGCAGTCCCTGAAGAAACGAACCTGCTGCCACCACTCCGAGCGAAGGATGCGGCACATCCTTCTCGAGTGACCCGTCGCGGGGGCCATCCAACCAAAGATGGCCTGTAGCTCGGGAGGGCACAAGGATGCCCTGGTGTACCGCGACGCAACTCTGGCCTTGCACACGTAAACCGCAATCAGTGAAGACAGCACGTTGGGATTAGACAGAAGGTCGTTAGAACACTGAAAAGAGCCCCTTGTACTAGAAATTAGACTTAGTAAACAGGATAACTGGGCGAGTTGGTATGGATTCATAATGGAACAGCGCGAATTATTGCAAGGACAGGAGAAGGAACTGGACAGGACGAGCGCTGACTAACAACTGAAAGGTTTATTCTCAGGAAACCACAAAGAAAAACACATAACACGACTCTCTAATCATGATGGAAGTGCGCATGCGCCTCACAAAATTGGGTGCTATCAGTTACACAATGTTACATGCGTCATCCCCGATCTAAAAATTCGACCTCATTGTCCAGCAAAATCAAGGAAGCCTGACTCACGCAGGCTGACCCCTCCTTCTTTATTCTATGAGCTTCAACAATCTCTCGAGCTTTTTGGTCTCGGTGTTTATACAAAACAACGGCTTTTTCCAGTAACGGGGTGCAGGCGCAGTCCCTGCAGTGTAACGCCAAGTGGGAGCTTGCCGTACCTGTTAAAGAGCTACGGTGTTCCCGCAGGCGAATGTTGAGGCACCGCCCCGTTTGTCCGATGTATACCTTCCCGCAGGTGAAGGGTATCTTGTATACTACACCCAAGGTGCATGGCACGAACTCAATGCGGTGTTTTATGCCGCACGGGCTCTCCCCCTGTTTCTCTACCTTGTTAACCCGCTTTTCCACTGCAGAGCAAATACTGCTTAGCTTGTTACGTGCCGAGAACACAACATCTACCCCGAACTTCGAGGCTGCTCTCTTAAAGCCGTGTGACATGTGGTGCACATACGGGATGACTGTGACCTGCTTTTTTACTTTTGTGGCTACTTTTCCCCGCGCCTCACCCTTAATGTTTTTCACTGTTGCTTCCGCCGCCGAGGCGATAACCGATTCCGGGAAACCGGCGTCTTCTGGTCTACCTACCTGGGCGGCAAGGCTTTGTCCCACTCTGTGGTAGCAAGACTTTGTTACTGCGGACAGGAAACATGATTTTGCAATGCCCCTTTTGACGAGCTTGGAATGCCCCGATCTAAAATCAAGGAGATTCTTGGTGGTCCTGGGATGATGCCACCAACAAACGTGGCTCTGGCTCACATCTACGCTCAGATCCAAAAACTGGATTGTCTGGTCTTTTGGGGTCTCAAAAGTGAACCTCAGGCCCAAACCCTGCTCCTTGAACGTTTTTAGCGCGAAATCAAGGGTCCGACTAAAGTTACCTTTGTCGACGAAAACTAAATAATCGTCGACATACCTAAAAATCTTTTTAGCGGGGGCCTTCAACAGACCGTCAAGTGCCCTGTCAACCTTTGCAAGGAAGATGTTACTCAGCACGGGTGCTACCCTGGACCCTATGCACACCCCAGACTTTTGCACATACACCTTGTCATGCCACCCGATAAAGGTAGCCCTCAAATAAAATGACAACACTTCTAGAAACCCTTCGACCGGAATACCGCATTGGGACCTAAACGCAACTTCATCGTTGAGGTCAGTAATGCATTCTTTTACGCAACGCATGAGGTCATCGTGGGGCATAGAGTAATACAGATCTTCAACGTCTATGCTGAACGCTGTACAACCCACAGGGTTACTATCCGAGAGATAGGAAACAACGGCATTTGAGCTAGGTATCACGAAAGGGTCCTCGGCATTTAACGTGTCCAAGTGCTTTTTGAGGTACCCAGACACAACCCGCAACCAGGTGCCACGCTCAGACACAATGGTGCGAAACGGAATTTCCGCCTTATGCGTCTTGGCCGCGAAGAAAACTTCCAAAGTGAGGTTCTTTTCCCTTTTTACCCCTGCACACACCTGCTTAAGGCTCAATCTTTCCAAAAGCTCCACGGCTCTTTCCTTAACCTTCGCTGGTCTTTCTAGGACCGCCTTGAAGTTCTTCTGCACAGCACAGGTCGCCTTCTCAGCGAACATGTCCTCCGGCATGATGACGAAGAAGCCTTCCTTATCGGACACAAGTGCGCGTAGCCCACTAGTAGCGAGAAAGTCAATAACAGGTTCTAAACTCCTACTCCTCGTAGGGAGCCCCTCTGACCTCAACAGCACATCAACGCATCCTGCGACACACCTAGGTTTGTCCTCTTCCGGAACCTGGCGAGACACCAACCTTGACAGGGCCAGCTTGTCCACTCGTTTCAGCGCCGGCTCAAAACAGAACTTCGGGCCCAACTTGAGGATCTGCCTGTGTTGCTCCGCGACTGGTCGGTCGCCGAGGACGAGTACTGTGCCTTCCTTGACGCGCTGCTTTTTCTTCGAAGGTAGATTGGGGCGTACCTGGTTCCATAGAAACTCGGTGAGCTGGATGGATGTCCTTGACCAGTCTTGGAACCGGTGGTTAGTTCCAGGCTGTTGAGGCTGGCGACTGCAAGCTATCCGTAGGCAGTCCCTGAAGAAACGAACCTGCTGCCACCACTCCGAGCGAAGGTTAAGGAAAGAAGAACTTCAAGGCGGTCCTAGAAAGACCAGCGAAGGTTAAGGAAAGAGCCGTGGAGCTTTTGGAAAGATTGAGCCTTAAGCAGGTGTGTGCAGGGGTAAAAAGGGAAAAGAACCTCACTTTGGAAGTTTTCTTCGCGGCCAAGACGCATAAGGCGGAAATTCCGTTTCGCACCATTGTGTCTGAGCGTGGCACCTGGTTGCGTGTTGTGTCTGGGTACCTCAAAAAGCACTTGGACACGTTAAATGCCGAGGACCCTTTCGTGATACCTAGCTCAAATGCCGTTGTTTCCTATCTCTCGGATAGTAACCCTGTGGGTTGTACAGCGTTCAGCATAGACGTTGAAGATCTGTATTACTCTATGCCCCACGATGACCTCATGCGTTGCGTAAAAGAATGCATTACTGACCTCAACGATGAAGTTGCGTTTAGGTCCCAATGCGGGATTCCGGTCGAAGGGTTTCTAGAAGTGTTGTCATTTTATTTGAGGGCTACCTTTATCGGGTGGCATGACAAGGTGTATGTGCAAAAGTCTGGGGTGTGCATAGGGTCCAGGGTAGCACCCGTGCTGAGTAACATCTTCCTTGCAAAGGTTGACAGGGCACTTGACGGTCTGTTGAAGGCCCCCGCTAAAAAGATTTTTAGGTATGTCGACGATTATTTAGTTTTCGTCGACAAAGGTAACTTTAGTCGGACCCTTGATTTCGCGCTAAAAACGTTCAAGGAGCAGGGTTTGGGCCTGAGGTTCACTTTTGAGACCCCAAAAGACCAGACAATCCAGTTTTTGGATCTGAGCGTAGATGTGAGCCAGAGCCACGTTTGTTGGTGGCATCATCCCAGGACCACCAAGAATCTCCTTGATTTTAGATCGGGGCATTCCAAGCTCGTCAAAAGGGGCATTGCAAAATCATGTATCCTGTCCGCAGTAACAAAGTCTTGCTACCACAGAGTGGGACAAAGCCTTGCCGCCCAGGTAGGTAGACTAGAAGACGCCGGTTTCCCGGAATCGGTTATCGCCTCGGCGGCGGAAGCAACAGTGAAAAACATTAAGGGTGAGGCGCGGGGAAAAGTAGCCACAAAAGTAAAAAAGCAGGTCACAGTCATCCCGTATGTGCACCACATGTCACACGGCTTTAAGAGAGCAGCCTCGAAGTTCGGGGTAGATGTTGTGTTCTCGGCACGTAACAAGCTAAGCAGTATTTGCTCTGCAGTGGAAAAGCGGGTTAACAAGGTAGAGAAACAGGGGGAGAGCCCGTGCGGCATAAAACACCGCATTGAGTTCGTGCCATGCACCTTGGGTGTAGTATACAAGATACCCTTCACCTGCGGGAAGGTATACATCGGACAAACGGGGCGGTGCCTCAACATTCGCCTGCGGGAACACCGTAGCTCTTTAACAGGTACGGCAATCTCCCACTTGGCGTTACACTGCAGGGACTGCGCCTGCACCCCGTTACTGGAAAAAGCCGTTGTTTTGTATAAACACCGAGACCAAAAAGCTCGAGAGATTGTTGAAGCTCATAGAATAAAGAAGGAGGGGTCAGCCTGCGTGAGTCAGGCTTCCTTGATTTTGCTGGACAATGAGGTCGAATTTTTAGATCGGGGATGACGCATGTAACATTGTGTAACTGATAGCACCCAATTTTGTGAGGCGCATGCGCACTTCCATCGTGATTAGAGAGTCGTGTTATGTGTTTTTCTTCGTGGTTTCCTGAGAATAAACCTTTCAGTTGTTAGTCAGCGCTCGTCCTGTCCAGCTCCTTCTCCTGTCCTTGCAATAATTCGCGCTGTTCCATTATGAATCCATACCAACTCGCCCAGTTATCCTGTTTTAGATCTATGTTCTAATATTAACCTTTCACAAATTGTAAGATTTCTAACAAGGACAACACACTCTTTTAGGCGAACTTGCTCGATTTGATACTGACACACCTGACTTAATTTCTGACATTTAATACCTTCCAGATCTTACTGATCACTCCTTACTTCATTTTTTTTGTTACTCCTGCGTGCCGTAATACAAAACAGGCCAAGCAAATCAGGGATTACAAAAGGGCCAACTATGCAGCGATTAATAGAGGTGTATGTTGTTTTTAGATGCCTTCTTGGCAGCGTTTTGCGAGCGTTCCGTTCAAACCAAATGGGATTCATATAAGAGCAAACCCATTTCTTTTTTTAATGAGCAACTTCCATTAAGCTCAATTATAACAAACATTCAGTCTCCATGGTTCACTACTCGACTACGAAGGCTCTCAAATAAAAAGAAACGCTTGTTCAGAAACACAAAGAGCATTGACTTGGAGGAATACTATAGTAACGTTATAATCTCGCAGCCAATGAATACAAAAAAGCAGTCGGGGAAACTTAATATTACTTTTTTAATGAGTGTCTCCCATCTATTTTATTGAGTAATCTTAAACAATTTCGAAGTGTAATCAATTCCAGCGTTGAGCGTTTCCTTTCACTTAAAAATGAATCGGGTGAAATGATTCCCGTTACATTGTATTCGACTATTCTTAAAGGGAAACTGAAGCGGTTTTGTATTTGAGAAAAAAGACTTTAATGGCCTTCATTAGACCTCTAGGATCAGGAATAGCAAGGTTGTTTTTTAATTTGGTGCACGGAGGCTTGAGCAAATATTCTTTAAGGTACCGCCGAAGCCCCTCCTTCCCAGGACGTGACGTCACACTAGGAATTTTCGGAATTTCTGCTCTCGCGGATCTTCAGCGCCTGTCAAAGCTATGCACGCGCACTGTTGCTATTTTCAAAAAGGTTAGAAAGAGACGTCACGACTGCCGTCAGTGCGGAAAAATATACCTGGCAAGCTTGTCATTGCATGTGCTGCCTACACGAGCGACACGCGCTTGGCGGCCCAAAGATCCTAGTATGACGTCACGACTGGTCGGAGGTTTTTCGCGTTTTCTCGCTTTTAGTCGCATCCTCGGGGAAAACGAATGAGATATTCAGATTTATGGGATAAAAATACGCCAGAATTCACCTCTAACTCGTTTTTTTTTCAAAAAGTGTTTCAGCTTCCCTTTAATGACATGTTTTATAGTGTATTTCACAATGTTACTGATACATTTTGTCCATCATATCCTTCATATGACTTCTTCTCATCAATCCAATTGTCATTTATATGAATAGCATTAAAACATTTAGAATCAAGTAAACGATCATCGTCGTCTGGTGTTGACAATATCAATTCAAAGTTTTCAAAGAATACGAAAGAATATACGCCAATCATTTCGTCTAAACTGTATGAGCAACTCCTTTCACCAGGTCAGCTTCCAGACAGTGTTGTACGGAACGGCGTTCCAAGGAACGGCGTTCCTGGAACGCGTTCCTTTTAGAAGGAACGAAGGAACGCCGCCGTTTCATTTTTTATCGCTGGAACTGGAACGCGAACTCGTTACATTCTTACTGGAACTGAAAAAGGAACGGCGTTCCTTTCTTTCGTCCAATGGGGTAATTTGTATTTCATTTCTAAGAGGCAAATTCTGAAAGTATAAAAACCATATCTTTACAAAAACCGTTAAATTTTCTCGTTAAATATTTGGTCACTTAGGGTTTATTTTGTGTAATCCTCGCTTGGTAACAGTCGGGTGCAGGAGAGCTAGCGGACATTTATTATTTTTGCAGTGCCTGAGGGTGCGGTACGGAACGCAAAACGTTTAGTCGAAGGAAAAGACACAGAAAGAGGAACGTTTCAAACTTAGCCACTTATTTTCTTCCACGAATACCCATACACCCAGAAATCTAAGGACTACGACAGCCATCACTAAACTTCCACAAACAGGCCTACAGTTAGAACAAAAGGACTGGTTACCTGACATCGAACGCACCCTTGTATCCCGAATATTGGTCACTTAAATGATTGTCATCGTCAATCGGGAAAAGAGAGAAACGACGCCCATGAGTGGATCAAACACTGAAATTATATATTTACAAGAAGGAAGATAGGAACGTGTCAGAGGCAAAACAATAGGCAAAGAATTAGCAATAAGAAAAGCAAAACACTGAAGGCAGTCAAAGTCACGTCGACACACTCATAGCCCGTTCCCGCTACAGTCCTTGCCTCAAGTTCAAGTCTTTCCCCGGTGCCTTGCGGAGCGTCGCCGCTTGATGTGATGATGCGGAAGCCGGTGTCTCGTACTCCCCCTGGAGTTGCTCGTAGCAGGCGTCGCCGTCCGTAGCGGCTGGTCCTCCCTCCGAGCTCTGGTGGTCGCCGTGCGTCGCGGCCCGACCCTGGCTTTCACCGCTGCTTCTCCTCTCGCGCCCGCCGTTCTCTTCTCGCGCTCGCCGTCCTCTGCTCGCGCTCGCCGTTCTCTTCTCGCGCTCACCGTTCTCTGCTCGCGCTCGCCGTTCTCTTCTCGCGCTCACCGTTCTCTGCTCGCGCTCACCGTTCTCTGCTCGCGCTCACCGTTCTCTGCTCGCGCTCGCCGTTCTCTTCTCGCGCTCACCGTTCTCTGCTCGCGCTCGCCGTTCTCTTCTCGCGCTCACCGTTCTCTGCTCGCGCTCACCGTTCTCTGCTCGCGCTCGCCGTTCTCTGGAACGCGCTCGTTCCCTTCCGCTTCTTTTCTTCTTCCACCCGTAATAATCGTCACAGGCACGTGACACACCCCGCTCACTTCGAGAACTTCACAACATGAAGTTTCTTCAGGAAGGCGACCTCCTCGATGGCTTGCTGTAGTGACCGCGGCACATTCACAAATACCACCACACTTGGTCCTTAGCACTCACGCACGTATGCCGTTTCCCCATCCCAAAAATTAGTATCGCCCAAATCACAAAAACAAACCGTGGTTACACTCTCGCGTCCCTAATTGCTTGTACAAATCACCTGGGCAACACACTCTTGTCCATACCTAATTCAACAACAAAAATGAAAAAAAAAAATCCTAATGGCCGGGTCTCATTAACCCTGTGTCCTGCCTTTACAACCAATTACCCCCGGACGGCTTCGCTCTCTAGACGACTTAAGAAGTCTGCTCCAACATTGTCTTTCCCCTTAATGTATTCGATGTGAAAGTCCTGTTCCTGCAATGATAAACTCCATCGCATTATGCGACTGTTGGAGTGCTTCGCTTTGTTCAAAAACTCCAAAGCTCGGTGATCCGTTTGTATGCGAAATTTTCTGCCATATAAGAACAACCTAAATCGCTCCACGGCCCAAACAATCGCCAGACACTCTTTCTCTACGGTGGCGTAATTCTTCTCCGATTTTCCCAGTGTTCTGCTTGCATATCCCACTGGATGCAGCAGTCCTTCACTTTCCTGGAGCAATACTGCGCCCAGGCATGCATCAGATGCATCCGTCCTCAAAACGAATTCTTTGTCGGGATCTGGCGCCAACAGGATAGGTGGTCTCGATAAGCAGTCCTTCAGTCTCTCGAACGACTCCTCCTGTGCTGACCCCCATTCAACTTGGTTTCGTTCTCCTTTCTTCGTGAGCTCCAGCAGGGGTGTAGCAAGATCCGCGTAGTTTGGGACGAAATCGCGGTAATAGCCGGTCAGCCCGAGAAATGACTTCACTTGACGTTTTGTCACCGGCCTTGGCGCATCTTGTATCCTTCCAAGGATCTCCGCGTGGGGTGCGACTCGTCCTCCACCCAACTCATGACCGAGGAAGGTCGTCTTTGTAAATGCGATCTCGCATTTCTTCGGCCGAGCCGTGATGTTAGCTTCTTGCAACCGATCAAAAACTGTCTGCAAAGTTTTCATGTGTTGCGTCCACGTATCCGAGGCGATGAGAATGTCATCGATGTAATGATGAGCCTCCGGAATTCCATGAAGCAACTTTCTCATCAGTCTGGTGAAGGTAGATGAGGCAGTCTTGAGCCCAAAAGGCATGAACTTGAACTGGTAAAGTCCGCTACTCGACGAGAACGCTGTCTTCTCCTTGGCCGAATCCTCCATCGGGATCTGCCAATATCCCTTCGCTAGATCCAGCTTAGAGAAAAACTTCTTGCGGCCCACCTTGGCGAAGGTGACGTCCGCCCTAGGAATCGGCTCTGCGTCATCCTTAAGCACGTCGTTTAACTTCCTGTAATCAACGCAAAACCTGTTAGAACCGTCTTTCTTTTTAACAATTACAACCGGCGCGTTATACGGTGACGTGCACCGTTCAATAACGCCCAGTCGGAGCATTTCCGAAATCTCCTTTTCGACTGTCTCTTGGACGGAAAATGGCAACGCATGTTGCCTTATCCGCACTGGTTCTTCGGTTGTCAATTTCAGGTCGCACGTGATCAAGTTAGTTTGACCTGGAAGATCTGAAAATATGTTCTTATACTGTTCGATCAACCTCCACACCTCATCTTTCTCATCATCATCCAAGTCATCGTTGACCGTGACCTCTTTCCAGTCATGTGCAGTCACGTTATCAGGCGTCGATGCCTTGTTGGCCTCTCCAGCAAGTGTAGCCTCGCCAAGTTCCTGCGTTGCCGCACTGCAGCTTGGCTGGCTCCGGTCGACCTCGACTCTTTCTTGGTATCTCTTGAGCATATTCACGTGGAACACCTTCTTGCGTCCTCCAACATCGAGCTCGTAGTCCACTTCGTTCTTTTTGCAGGATACTACAAATGGTCCTTTCCACTGCATTATTAACTTGTTGTGGTCGCTCGGTAGGAGAATGAGGGCCAAGTCCCCTTCTTTCAGTTGTCGGTTGACGCTCTTTTTGTCATAGTGCTCCTTGTACTTGATCTTGGCCTCTTCCAAGAAGCGGTGAGCCAACTCACATGTTCTTTGTAGTCTCTCTCTTAGCTCGAGTACGTGACCGTAGGACGTCCTCACGTCGTCTTCGAGCGTCTCGTTGGACCAGATCTCCTTAAGGATGGCCAAAGGTCCCCGAACTCTTCGGCCGTATAGTAGGTCAAATGGTGAAAACTTCAGGCTTGCCTGTGGCACTTCCCTGTAGGCGAACAGTAGTGCCGGGAGGTACCTGTCCCAGTCCTTGGGCCTTTCTTGACACATTCTTCTAATCATCTGTTTGATGGTTCCATTAAATCTTTCCACCAACCCGTTCCCCATCGGATGGTAGGGTGTAGTCATGAGATGCTTCATGGACAGCAGCCGGCTTACCTCTTTCATGAGGTCCGACGTGAAGCAGGAACCTCTATCGCTAAGAACCTCATTCGGGATTCCATACGTAGAGAACATTTCCACCAAGGCTTCTGCCACTTTCTCCGTGCCGATGCTTCTTAATGGAATAGCATCCGGGTACCTTGTGGCGACGTCCACCATGGTCAGAATATATCGGTTGCCCGAACTCGCCGTTGGGTTGATCGGCCCGATGATGTCGATCGACACCCTCTAGAATGGCGTCTCGATGGCAGGCATTGTCCCAAGAGGCGCTTTGCCTACTCTGCCTTTCGGCACCGTGCGCTGGCATACATCGCAGGAACGCACGTACCTCTTGATGTCACTCTGCATGCCCGGCCAAAAGAACTCTTCAGCCGTTAGCGCGAGCGTGTTCTTCATGCCTTGGTGGCCTGACATGATACCGTCGTGTGCCATTGCCATGACAGTTGGTCGAAATGTTGCTGGGAGAGCCAGCTGCTCTATACTCCTCCCGGTGGAAAATATACAGCTCCGAAAAAGCAGGCTGTTCTTTATCACCATTTCATACTTCGTACGACACTTGTGTTTCTTTACCACCTTTCCGACCTTGTCGAAACATTTCCTTAAGGACGCATCGTTCCTCTGTTCTGTCGAAAGCTCCTCGACTGTCGTTTCGAGAATCGGTACCTGTGGCACATTCAGTGGAGGTTCCGATTTGTTCCCGCTCTTATTCTTCCTCGACTCTCCCACTCCCGCGGTACTTGAAGGCGAAGTTATCAGTCCCAAGTCCGTGTTTTCCGAGTCGTACGGAGAGGCCTCTTTGCGGTCCTTCCTCTCTGGTACCTCGGCTCTCATGTCCAGCTGGTGGCCAACTCCCTGGACAGTAGGTGTCTTCATCTCGTCACTTCGTTGTTGATCGGAATCCCAATATGGGTTCGGATCGTTGGGATCTCTCACTTGTGGAACGTTGCCAAGCACTAAGTCGTATAGGGGATCGTCAATGCACTTCGCCACGACTTTTCCTGCCAGAAAGGGTGTGTTGATCACAATTTCCGCCTCAGGTAAGTATTTTACTGTTCGGTCCAGTAAATATACAGGACTACAGTTTCCAGTGTAGCACCCAACGGGCACTAAGTTCTTTCTTACGACTACTGTATTGCAGCCGGTGTCCCGAAGCACCGTAACTTTTCTCTCGCCAATGCGGCCTTCGACCACAGGCATATTCTCCACCAGAAACTTGGGTGGCCTCCCTACAGCTGCGTTAACCACTGGTATTTTGTCGCCGTTCTTTAACGTAAGGTAGGTCTCATCTGGTTCGCCTGCCGTTTCGTCGGAGGTTGTCCACAGGCAAGAAGCTTGTGGTTTATCACCAGCCCTCATAGTGCATTTGTCGGCCTTGTGTCCCATCCGGCCGCAGTGCCAACATGTCGATGGTTTGTATTGTTGATTGCGACCATTGCAGTTCTCGGCTTTGTGTCCTACCTTATTGCATAAAAAGCATCGGAGGATCCTCCGTGTGTCCTCTCTGAGTGCTTTAGGGACTGTACTTGCACTGGTTTTCGGGTCTTGTCCCTCTACCTTCGCTTTTAAAACGCTCGGCTGAGTCTGTGCTTCCAGAAAGACGTCGGCTTTTTCAGCCAAATCATCTAGGGTCAAGCAGCCTCTTTCTTTGAGAAAGACCATCAACTTACTAGCGCAAGTCGTCATGAACTGCTCCATTAGCATTCTGTCCCGGAGCGCCTCGAAAGTCTTCTCGACTCCTGCCACTTCGATCCACCTATCGAAATACCCCGTCAACCTGGCTGCGAACTGTTTTCTTGTTTCCCCATCTCCGGGCTTCGCCTCACGAAATCTTTCGCGATAACCTTCTTTTGTATACCGGAATCTTTGAAGCAGCGCCAGTTTCATCTTTGTATAATCCATCGCATCCGCAGGGGTCATGCGACCGACCACCGTCAGGGCTTCTCCTGTGAGACAAAGACTTAAAGTGGTTGCCCACTTGTCTTGTGGCCATCCGAGGCCTGTGGCCGTACGCTCAAACCTCTGCAAATACGCGTCAAGGTCGTCGCGCGTCTCATTATACTGCGGTATTAGTTTGTGTGGACTGGCGCTATGACTTGGTCTAGTCGAACCGCGTTCTCCTCCTTCCCCCCGCGCTTCGCGATTTCCTCTTTCCTGGGCCGCGATTCTGAGTTGTAGAACTTCCCGCTCCTTATCCAGTGGGACACATTCCGCTTGACATGCGCGTTCTTGCGCCGCGTGCTCTTCTCTTGCCGCCTCCCGTGCCTGCAGCCTTTCCTCTCTTTGAATATTTTTCTCCCTCTCAACCCAGACCTTCAGCTCCTCTCCAGTGTATCCTAGTTCCCTCCCAGCCGCCATCAATTTATCAATCTCTACAACCCCGGACCCAGTCATGGTCGCGAACTCTCTCCTCCGGACCAACGAGATCAGGCTAGTGGATTAATGGAATCCTGGCAGGCTCGCCAAATTGTCATCGTCAATCGGGAAAAGAGAGAAACGACGCCCATGAGTGGATCAAACACTGAAATTATATATTTACAAGAAGGAAGATAGGAACGTGTCAGAGGCA